GGCCCAGCGAGCGGGGTCACCGACCCTCCCGCCCGCCTCTGTCTCCGCCGCAGGAGCGGGGCTTTGAAACACGCTCTGCTTCCCTGGCGCCATTTTTCTTCATTTCAATCCAAAACCCTATTTTTCTCAATAATTCAAGCATTAACTATGCAGTAGTGGAAGGAGCGGAAATCGCAAGGTATTTGTCCTCGNTTGAGTTTCCTGTCTCCTCTTTAAATTTCTTATGTTGATATGGAAAGTGGTTTCACTTCCTGTTGAGTAGCGGAGCCTTGCAGGGATACCTTTTTGTTTATATAAAAATATAACAGCTCCATTTTCTCTTTAAATGTTAAATGTTCAAGGAAAAACATCTTAGGTAATAACTGTAATAAGCAAGGAAAAAAACCTTAAATGATGGATGTCCAGTAGTCTGACAAAATTTGTTGGTAATAAAAATGTAGCATAAGAAATATTCTTTCAGAATAGACTTTAAAATGTTTACTGTGTAAATACAGATTTCAGTTTTTTAAAGTTAAGGTGATACATTGTATCATTAAGAATTGTCATACTGATACTTACTTATGGGGCTTTTAAAGCACAGATTATTGAGCCAATAGACTAGAGTAGCTCAAAGAAACGCTTATTTCCCAGATCACTGAGGCGGCGAACAGTAATAGCTCAGACACATCTACGGTGTGGGCCTGCAGGTGCCACGACACTGATCCTTAGTAGTTCACATCCTAAAAGGAACAAATAATAAACTCAGGAAGAGAAAAAAAGGCTGTATAGCATCACTTTTTTAAAAAATGAATAATTTTATTTAAACTCAAAAATGGAAAAGTAATTGCTATAAGATTTTAGGAGTTAGATTTGGTGTGAATTTTAATTATTTGAAATACAGAAGTACAAGTGAAGGTCTGCAAATTACTTATTTTGTTGTTGATTCTTAAGATTCTACTAAAAGTGGGAAAATATAGGGCTGATTTGCTTCAAATGTATTTGAAAGGAGTGTGCTTTTTATAGGAATTTTCGTTAGGCTCTAGTGAAGCCTTGTGTCAGCTTTAGTTACAGCCCAAATGGAGCACAACAGGAGCAAGTGGGCCGGCTGAGAACCGCTCACCTGCTGGAAGGCAGCAGCCTCGGCAGCAGCGCCGTTCCCCCGGGTCCTCTTTCCTTACGAAGCTGTGCTTCCACCTGTGCAGGCGTCATGCGTGAGCTGACTGTGCGATCGGAGGCTTTTCTGTTCTTCAGATCACAATGTATTTGCAGGGAAATACAAGACAGAATGATATTTACCTTTCTGTTAAGAGTTTCAGTTGCCTTTTGACGTTTTGCATCGTTATTTTGCTGTTTGAAAGTGTTTCCGTCAAGTCAGTGTGAGTGTTAGGAGAACAGTCAAAGTATGTGATGGTCAGACGTTGTGCGGGGATGCTGCTCCCACCCGCGATCAGAGCTAGTGGTGCGTGTGCCGTTGTTCTCGGTGAGCGTGCGGGAGGTTTTCATCCCACGAGGTGGCTCGGGTTTGGTGCGCACAGTGGTTCCTTAGGGCCTGGGCGGCAGGGGGAGGTCCAGCGTGGGATGGATTGGAGTGGCGCCGAGCCGGAGACCAGGTGGGGCTCATGCCTCCATGCGAGCATTAAAGACAGGCTCACCCCGATTTGATTAAGCAGAGGGGACCGTATTTACCCCTTATTGTTGGTATAAACCATTATTTTCCTGAGCACCATTAGCTGTTTAAAACTTGGTACATAAATTAAAGAGGAGCTAAGTGGATTTGTGATCGCTGCCATTAGCGGCATTTTAGATTATACAGGCAATTATTGAGTTCATTATCCTAGAGCAGCCCCTTCGCAGAGCCATTGTGGAGCCGCAGACATTACGCACAGATTTTCCCTTAGAGATTAAAATTTCCAGTAGCGTATTTAATTTTGTTATCACAGTTGTTTCAAATAAAACAAATATTATGACAAGTAGAAGAAAATTTGCTTTACTAATATAGGAATTTACAATAAACGTTGAAAATCACTTGCCAGTGAACTGAACTTACCTTTTCTTACACAGTCATGATCACCCCGAGTGATGTTAGTGTATTTCATGGGTGAAAGGCCTTGCAGTCGTAGCAAAAGGCGTCTGCTTGGTGTTCAGGAAATTTTTTAAAGAATCTGTAACTTTATAAGTTAACTGGTTTGTATTGAATGGTTTCTAAGAGTCCAGGTTGCATTTAGACGAGTGGAAGAAACTTTTAAAGGTGTTTTAGGGGAATGAGTATAAAAAATTAACTATTAATTGAAAGTGTACTTAAAAGAAAAACGAGTTGAGACGCGTCTCCCCTTCTCGCTGCGTGAGAATCGGGAGGAACCCGGGCC